TGAAAGGAGCAAGATGTTGGCATCTCTCCCTTGCATCGATGTTTTCAGTGAATTCAACCTGTCGAAAATGTCTACAAGGTATGACAACTGCGCTAACCACGGGGTCATCCAGGTACCGCGCAAGGTCGGACTTCACATTAACAAGAAATGTCTTCACCTCTGAACGCAATTCGTAGAGGCGATGTAAAACCCGACCTCTGGAGAGCCAGCGAACCTCAGTGTGAAAAAGGAGCTGCTCGTGTTCGGCTCCCATTTCCTGAAAAAGCAAGGAAAACAAGCATGCATTTAATGGCCGTGCTTTCATGAAACTGACAATTTGCACGCTAACCACAGGGGGTCATCCAGGTACCGCGCAAGGTCGGACTTCACATTAAGAAGAAATGTCTTCACCTCTGAACGCAATTCGTAGAGGCGATGTAAAACCCGATCTCTGGAGAGCCAGCGAACCTCAGTGTGAAAAAAGAGCTGCTCGTATTCGGCTCACATTTCCTGACAAAGCAAGGAAAACAAGCGTGCATTTAAAGGCCGTGTTTAATGAAATTGATAATTTGCACTGCCTGCTTTAAAACGGCCTCAAGAGACTCAGGCATTTGTTTTGATGCGAGAGATTCACGATGAATCATACAGTGGGTCCACTTGGCTAAAGGGGCTAAATTCTGGACACGAGTGACAAGACCGCTAATCCTCCCAGTCATTGAACGGGCCCCGTCCGTGCAAATCCCAACACATTTATCCCATGACATGCCTGCATCCCGTATATATCCATCCAGAACTTCAAATAATGCCTCGCCAGTTGTGTGATCTGGACGAGACCAACAGAAAAGAATGTCCTCCTCAATATTACCATTTTTGACATAACCTGACATAGGTAAGCAACTGTGCTAGCCCTGCAACATCAGTTGTCTCATCAAGCTGTAGGGCATAGTACTGGCTTTGCATGATGTTAGCTAGCAATTGCGCTTTAACGTCACTTGCCATTGCAGATATGCGGCGGCTAACGGTGTCATTGGAAAGGGGGATGTCACTAATCTGAGCGAAATTATCTCCAAACATGACCTGACAAATAGCTTTGGCAGCAGGTAAGATTAGCGCCTCGGCAATTGTGTGAGGTTTTCCTACTTTAGCAACTCGTTTGGAGATGTAGTAGGATGCTTCTAGACACCTGTTGGACACTTATGTGTGTTTGCTGATGTTGCGTTTCTGCTGTTCAAGGCCAGATAACTTTAATTTGAAAAAATCTAAGGGTTTGTCTTTGAGTGTCAGGTGTTTCGTTTCTAAATGGCGCTTCAGCTTGCATGGCTTCATGCTATCATTTGCCAGCAGATCTGCGCATATGACACACTGGGGCAGCAGTTCAGCATCTGTCCCAGCCATCGTAAAGCCAAACTGAAGATAGCTAATACTTTCGTCTTTTACACTTCTTAGGGGTAGGAGCTGACGACGCATCGTCGTCACAACTCCTTTTCGTACGTGTGATGAACTTATCCATAAACTTCCCAAAATCCGTTCCGCTGCTAGTCACTGACGTTCTGAAACGTGTCTGCACTGACAGCTGGATAAAAGGCAGGCTAAGCTCCGCCTCTCTCCATCGCCAAAAAAAAAAAAAAAAAAAGCAGAGGAAGAGGTTTTTTTCCCAAGCCGAGCGGGGTTTTTCCATTTGTGTATATTCTACTTGAAACGCAATAAAATGCAAAAAATACAATTATCCAAATAATGCCTTGTCTCTGTTTTTTCTTGAAAACCATTTTGCGCCCCCCTTCCGATCTCTCGGGCGTGCCCCCCGTTGAGAACCACTGGTCTAAAGGATAGCATAAAAATAACCATACTGATATTACAATAAAAATAGTTCAAAGCAAATGTTGTCACATTTCTGTGATTAATTGTGTGTGTTTGTTTCAGAGTTGCAGGTGATTTGCTGATGGGCGTGGTTTGCACCTGAACTGGATTATGGCACTTTATAAGGGACTCAGCCAAACAGACATGCCCCGCATTATTGTTTGTTGGTTCCTCTTGAGACTTCTGATGAGCTGCCGGGATGTGAGGGTGATGGAGGATCAAAGTGGCCACGGGTTTCACGTCTTGACTATCTACCCTCTGTATTTTACGTTGTTTGGATTGTCACTGTTTGTACTTACATTCATTTGCTGACATACTGATGTACATTTACACTGATACCGCATTTCATGCTTATTTCTTTAGTTAAATAAATATTGTCAAGCTGCAGTTGTGTGTGGTGTCTACCTTATTTTGTTGCGGTTTGGTTATAATCGTAACAATGTGTACACATTCATCTGATCTAATATCTGATTTCATGGCTGTTTGAGAAAAAAATTTATTATTATTATTATTATTTATAAGTGGACTTTGTCTGCTTTAAGTAAAGTGAAGTTACTTTATTTGGTAACACTTTACTTTAGGGTCTTTACTTTACTTTCTTATTAGCATGCGTATTACTAGAATATTAGCCATTTATTAGTACTAATTAAGCACATATTAATGCCTTATTCTACATCCCTAATCCTACCAAATACCTAAACTTACCAACTACCTTACTAACTATTAATAAGCAGCAAATTAGGAGTTTATTGAGGGGAAAGTTGTAGTTAATAGTGAATAAGTGTTCCCTATACTAAAGTGTTACCCTTTACTTAAAGCAGACAAAGACCACTTATAAATAATAAGACCACATTATAAAGCCTTTTGGATGTATTCATGAAGATTTGTCATTTTACAGTAAAAACACTAATAATATGTACTCAATTATTGTGCAGATCTTAAACAATGGCAAGATATGAGACTTATAATACATTATAACTATGAGAAATATAATTCATTGTAACTGAAGTGAATGCAACATGTTCACTGTGTGTTATAAATCATCATACTCTTAAAAGCTATAACCACAAATAAGTATTATAATACATTAAAACTGTTCTTATGATTATTCATGAGATGATACAACATATTATACGTTTTTTTTATAATGCATTTTTCATTCAATATATACGAATACCCTTATAATGTATTATAAATACGGGCTTCATAGAAAGTGTTACCGCCTTTTTTTTGCAGCACCTTTTCTTTGCAAGAGCCACAACAATCAAACAAAACTAATAGTTTGCAAATAATTTGTAAATTTGTTATTACTGTATACTTATTATAAAGTGTTACCGATGTATCCATTAAAAACTTATAAGTAACTTAAATAAGCACAAATGTCAGGGCAGCATATCCAAGGCCCAAAAAATGCCTCAGAGTCAACTCCTGTTCATAACTCATCTGTGCATTTGTGCTCAACACTGCAGCAAATCATTCATGAATCAAACTGATCCAGTTCAACTCACTGACTCAATGATCCGGTCACAGCGTTTGTCAAGTTATCAACACACTGAATCTGTTCTACTGAAATGAGGCAGAAACCAAGAGTAATATATGATCCTTGGAGCTGAGGATTTCACTGATGAAGTGAAAATAAATCGATTGTAATCTAATTCATAAGGAAAGGGAACAGTTTTTAAAACAGTCCACTGAAACATAATGTTCAAAGAAGTCATTAAGAAATGTAGGTATTATTTCGTTCTCATAACTGGAAAACAGCATTACAAAATCCCAGGTTTTCCGGGATGGTTGGGAAGCCTGATTGTTTTCTCATCAGGTTTTTTGAGAAGGCGTTGTCTGTCTTGTGTTCTTGGAGAAAATGCCACTGATACAATCGTACTACAGTATAGACTGGAAATATCTGCTAGCTATAGTTAAGAAACACTTATTCTTCCACATATTTAATCATAGTGATTCAGTGAAAGTGAAATTCAAACCTCAGTATGTTCAGTCGACAGTTTGGACTCTTCAGTCCATCAGAGAGCAGCTTCACTCCTGAATCCTGCAGGTCATTGTTACTCAGGTCCAGCTCTGTCAGATGAGAGTTTGATGATTGTAGAGCAGTAGACAGAGTTTCACAGCATGTTTCATCAAGACCACAGCCGTCAAATCTGACAAAACAACGTTTAGACAGATTATTTTCTGATGTTCAGTGATTCTGCAATAACTAATTGTAGCCTTCATAATCCAGACAGGAAAATATTTCACATAGTATTTTAACATTTAATTGTTTAGTGATGTAGAACAAAACAGCAACATTTAATTAAACAGCAGTCAGTGAAATTACTCACAGGGCTTTTCTGCAGCATCTCACAGCTGGAATGAGTCTTGTGTAGTTTGAAGATGATGTGAACCTCTTTGGGTTGAACTCATCCAGCACCTTCTCTGAGATCAGCAGTATGTAGGTCAGCACTGTGCACATTAAAGATGAGAGTTTTCTACCTGGATGTTCATCTGAACTGAGGTAACTCTGGATTTCCTCATATAATGAATGATCTTTCAGCTCAAGTAAGCAGTAGAATAGGTTGACTGAAGCTTCATCTGTGATATTCTTGTTTTGTACTTGTTTAATGCATTCAGTTGTTTGTCTGATGCTCACACTGGTGTCTTGTGTGTGTGTGATCAGACCTTTGAGCAGGTTCTGACTGGATTCCAGTGAAATGCCCATCAGAAACCGCAGGAACAGGTCCAGATGTCCTCTCTCACTCTGCATGGCTTTATCAGTGGCCCTCTCTGTTAAGTCATGAAATGTGACATTTCTAAAGAAGAACTGAAGCTTTTGTCTGGCTGTATTTTGTGAATCTTTAAAGAAAAACCGAAGCTCTCGCTTGTTCTTGTTCAGGTAGCAGATGAACACATGCACTGCAGCGAGAAACTCTTGAACACTCAGATGCACAAAGCAGAAGACCTTTGTCTTATAAAGTCCATCTTCCTTCTTAAAGATCTCAGCGATCATTCCTGTGAACGTCCATCAAATATAAACGCTAGCTTACTTTCCTTATATAACTTTGATTTCTCCAGTTTCTGCAATTCAGGATAAAATTTAATCAGAATCTCATGGAGATTGACCTCTTTATCTTTAATCACGTTGATCTCTCTGAATGGAAGCAGGAACACACACTCTATTTCCTGATTGGTGTTTTCTTCAGCCCAGCCCAGGATGACCTTGTGCACAGATCAGGATAAAATTTAATCAGAATCTCATGGAGATTGACCTCTTTATCTTTAATCACGTTGATCTCTCTGAATGGAAGCAGGAACACACACTCTATTTCCTGATTGGTGTTTTCTTCAGCCCAGTCCAGGATGAACTTGTGCACAGAGACAGTTTTTCCGATGCCAGCGACTCCCTTGGTCAGCACAATCTTCTCCTCATTGTTTTTCCTCAGTTCAGTGAATATATCATTGCATTTGATTGGTTTGTCCTGTGTTTTTTTGTTCCTGAAAGCATCATCAATCTTCAGAATCTCATGTTCGTGATTGACATCTTTCATATCTCCCTCTGTGATGAACAGCTCTGTGTAAACAGTCTTGAGATCTGCATCATTTTCGTTGTTGCCCTCAAAAATATATTTAGCTTTCTTCTTCATGTTGTTTTTGTGAGTTTTCAAGAAGTTTTGTAGCTCTATAATTAAAAACAAATAAGATTGACAACTTTTTTTTTTACAAATTTGACAAATATAATATTTTTCATATCAGCATGATCTGATGCAGACAGATTAAATTCATACAGCTAAAAACAGCACAGTCCATCCCTAAAAACATTTACATTTTTCAATTTCTGAATATGTTTTTTTTTAATGCTCTTTCCAGATAACTTATTGATTCAGATCATCGTTAGGCCATGTTGACTAATGTTACTAAAAGCTAATGAATGGTTTCCACATCATCTAGCACATCAATCAATTTGTGAGGCTGTATTTACAACATGTTTTGACCTGCTTAAATCAACCTTTCCATGTGTGATTGTAATCATGCCTTGATGACACCGAATGAATTTGGTGACAGTGCCACATATTGGTCAACTTTAATAAACAACTGTATCACAATATGTTTTTAGACTATTGTGAACTGGATATCACTGGAGAAACATTCTGTTCTATTCATTATATTTTTACAAGATCTGCCGCTGATGTGATTGGCCCTGTAATTGCTGCTTGCAGTTATATTTTCTCTTGTTTCCATTTACAGAAAGCGACTGTTATTTACTCCAGATCTGACCTGAATCAGCTCCAACAGGAACAGATGTGTTCGTATTGCCTTCAGCCTGAGCTGTGAGAGAGATACTCACTGAGAAACATAAATCACACAATTACATCACCAAAGAGGAAAGTTTGTCAAACCATCACACCGCTAAACAGACAATCATGATACAGTCACAGTGAATTAAACATTACCTTTCTTGTATTCATTCTCCAACTGTTTAGCCAAATCATTCTGGTTCATTTTCCTCAGGATGTCCACCGTGATCTTCACAGCTTCTTCTGGTCCAAAACATGCCACCATCTTATCCACTGTTTTTAACCTATTTGCATCCTTCATGTCAGATTTTGATATACACACATGATCTTTCTCTAAGTGCCACTGAAACTCCTCCAGTTCATCTTTTACCAGGTCCTTCAGTGAGTTCACTAGCAGATCTTTAACAGATGTCATTGTCGTTTACAGACTCACAGCTGCAGGACAAGAAGATCTGAGGTAATTTCACATTTCAATTTAATTTAAGTTCTGCACATTTTAGAGTGGCCTTTTATTGTGGCCAGCCTAAGGCACACCTGTGCAATAATCATGCTGTCAAATCATCATCTTGATATGCCACACCTGTGAGGTGGATGGATTATCTCGGCAAAGGAGAAGTGCTCACTAACACAGATGTAGCGAATCAGCTCATGGGGAAATATGAATAATTAATCATAACTACACCTGGGACAAATAAACCTAATCAGGGAACAGGAACAGGAAGAACCAAATAAAAACATAGGAAGCAGAACACACACAAAACATGGAACAGAGTCTCACTACACAAACTGAGCCACAGTCAATTTTTTAAATTACATAATTATATAGACTGAATCACAACCTACTAAACAATGGCAAAAATACTCTTTATACATACCTGGATGAATCCTAACTGTCACATATTAACTTTTTCCCCGCCATTGACGAGTTATCTCGTCTTTTAGAAGAAGACGCTTCCCCGCCAAAGACGAGTTTTTACGGCTTTTTGTGATTTCACTGTTATACACTCGGGGGCGCTATTACACATCTTCTGAACGAGGACAAAACCTCCCGAACAAAAATA